GACCGTATTTAGTTGGGAAGAATTGAAAGGAAAGTTCGAGAGTTTTAAAAATTGAGGAAATCGAGCGAAAAGAAAAAAATCGTTTAAAAATGTGATCTCTCCGCTTAAATCGAAAAATTCGTTCTCTTAACGGAGATGTTATCTTTACGATCATTTTTCTTATTATTTATTTAAAAAAAAAATTTTTGGAAAAATTTGGGGGAAGAACCCGGTTTAAAAAAAAATTATATCATCAAAAAATTTGTTGTTCTCACCGGGGACGTTATCTTTTACGATTTTACTTAAAGCTTCCCCTAACGACCTATTCTCTAAACATATTTATTCATTAACGCTGTTTCGAGAAAGGTTTTAAAACCAAACATATTTTCCGATTTTTTTTCCTTTTTCTACGCGCCCTTTGTTGGTTGCTTAAAAGTTTTTGTTCTTATTAGTTATTGTTCATGGCGTATTAAGGAAAGAAAAGTTGATTACATCGCAAGGAAAAGAAAGAGGTGGATCGAGAGAAAATGAAAGATTAATAAGGAAAAAGGAAAAATCTCATTTTCGTCGTTGTCTACGTCCGAATAAAGGTCTATAAGCGGGAAATAATCAAGAGAGGGTAAAATTGAGGAAGAAACGTGACAGCGCGTGCTAACGTTTATTAAAACATCAATCACCGAAAATCCCAATCAACAAAAAAAATAATAATAATGATCCATCAAAAAAAAATTTCGTTACAAAATTTTTTTAAAATCCTTTAATTAGACTACAAATGCACAGAAGCTGCTGTCGTTACGTTTTACGATTCTACAGGGTGTTTCTGTAACTCGTGGCATAAATTTAACCACAAATACTAGAGTCAAATGATGATTCGTGTAAAAATTTTTGAAGAAAATAATCTATTTTTAATCAATGTGTAATGACCTAAAAAACACGTTAAAAATAAACAGAAAGTGCGGAAAAGTGACTAACACTAGATTAACTTCAGTTACAAAACTTTTATTATATGACAACTAACTTCAGGTTTAAAATGTCAACCTTAATTTTGACATATTTGTAATCTTCATTAAAAATCCTTTAAAATGAGTACAAACACGACATATTTATCGTCAATATTAATGAAGTTATGGTTAACTTCCGGTTAAGAATGTCAACGTCAATTTTGACATATTTGTAATCATCGTGAAAAATCCTTTAAAATGAGTCCAAACACGATATATTTATCTTCAATATTAATGAAGGCATGGTCAACTTCCGGTTAGGAATGTCAATGTCAATTTTGACATATTAATTTTTATACAATGTCTTAATATTTGTCACAAAAACAAAAATATAATAAAAAAAAATAAAAAATTAAGGTTGGTATTAATATTTCAAAATTAAATTGCTATCTTCATTGTTGCTGACTTCGGGTTTAATGTTTTTTATTTCAACTTTTTTGTTTTTCGAGATAAGTGCGTTATCTTTGGACTCATTTTAAAGGTTTTTTAATGAAGATGATAAATATGTCAAATTTGACGTTGCCGTTTCAAACCGGAAGTGATTGTATCTCCATTAATATTACAGTTAAATATGTCGAGTTTGGACTCATTTTAAAGGATTTTTTATGAAGTTGACAAATATGTCAAAATTAAAAGTTGAAAGTTCGAACTTTTTGGTTTTTTGGGATAAATGCGTCATGTTTGGACTCACTTTATTTGGCCCGAAATTGTAGGTTTATCTATTTTTTCTATTGTAGAATTTCTTACTGTATCTAAGTGTCGTATCTATGTTGGTTCTTAGACGTATGCTGCAAATCAGACTTGAAATCGTATAACGTGATTGTCGCTTAACTTTATCCTTTAGAACAAATGGTATTTTAGGTCTTTCGGTATCTTTAGTCGTCTCTTAAGACGACTAAACCTGAATGTTGGTAGTTCTAGGTCTCAGTAGTACAGTAAAACCTCAACATAACGAACTAATATGGGAAGAGAGTGTCCGTTATACCCAAAAGTTCGTTATTTGAAAAATTATTAGCCGAACAGTTAAGCCATGCGTATCTCAAAATGGCTAAACCCTAATGATTCTAGTTCTAAGTCTAGTGTTACTTCTAGTTTTAGTTCTAAGATGTTCAAAATGACCTAAGAAACACGATGAGTATACACAATTCAAATTTGGCAGTAGCAAAAAAAATTACGCGATTGCAAAAAGTCTTTGCTCTAATTATACAATTATTATTTTTGAACACTTTTGATTCTAGAATATGTAAAATATCCTTTGTAACACGACTAATACTCACATTTCAATTTTGGCAATGAGAAAATTGCTTGATCCCTTAACTTTAAAACTTCAAATTTTTATTTTTTTTTGTTCCTAAGATGTTCAAAATGACCTAAAAAACACGATGGGTACACACATTTCAAATTTAGCAGTAGTAAAAAAAAGTACGCGATTGTAAAAAGGCATATCATAGCTCTAAATTTGTAATTTAGAAAATTTTTGGTTCTAGAATATGTAAAATATCCGTAGTAATACGACGAAAACACACTTTATGAGATTAAAAATGTTTAATCAAAAAATGTAATTTGATTGAAATCGACTTGTTTGGCATTGAGATCTGGGTGATAAAGGTATTCTCGTTAATATTCAAGCTGCTTCTGTGAGATCGGGATGACATGGCGTAATAGTAGTAGCTCTGCTTACATGCAAATTGCACGCAGAACTCAATCGAAATACGATGCTCGTTTTAGGCAGCGAATCCGTTCATATCCCGAGCGAACATCCACGTCATTTCAACGCGGAGGTCTATAGCTGATATCCTAGCTTAGCTTTGTTCTTTTAAATTCCGCTGACGTCGACACTAGATACATATCACACAGTTTTTTTATTGATTTGTTAATTTAAATGACATTTTACACATCATTGTTGATGAAAACTTCCTTCTTCATTAAAAGAAATACATGGACATTATTGATATCGACATAGCGATAAAAAATGTTCATGTAAAATATAAATATGCGGTTCTCTCGAGTTTATTTTATGCGATGTTATATAAAAAACGAGGATTTCTTTTTTGGGGTTCTCCCGAGGGAAAACGATAGATTTGAAAATATGAAATATGAAGTAAGAAAAACCGAGAGGAAAGGATGACAACCCCTAGATAGAAAATGAAAAGGGGATATTTTCGATGGTGGTAAATGAGGGGGAAGGACGAAACGAGTGGTTTTCGGACAGTCCGGCTGTCATTTTAACGACGGCGACAAAAAAAATATATTGGAACGAATCCCGAAAAATAAACGAGAAACTAAATTGGAGTTTGTAACCGATTCGATTCGATCGTTTTCTTTTTTTGATTAATTAAGAAATAAGCACCCAATCGAGTTTATTATTCGATTTTAAAATTTGGCGCAGAGCCAAAACACCATAAATTTTGTATTCAGGTTTCGGGGTGGGAAAATCGGTCACTAATTATGAGCGGAACTTCCCGAATTAGTGAACGCGTCCCGAAATCGTAACCAGATTTACGAGTTTAAGTGAGTACAAGTGTAATCCCGCTTAGCTTCATGAATTCTAATAGGTTCCCTTAAAATCCGAAACGGTTATAGTATTTATCAAAGGAACGCTTTTGAACAATATATGAAAGAAAATCTTTGCTGTATTATTATTGGTGCTAAATCTAAAGTTGAGTATCGCTTTACGTCGCAAGTGGATTTAATGGCACCCAATTTCGACTCCAAACTATGTTAAAAGCAATATTGTACGAAAGTGGAAAAAGATATATGTATCGAAAACCTGGGGAAAAGTTCGATACGCGAAGGGTTGCTTGGGGTTGAGTTATACAAGTGCAATATATTTCCAAGTTGATTTCCAAGTTGAAGCGCCATCTCGTAAGGTATCCCTTGGAAAACTTCTGTGTTGTTGCGTGGTTATCCCCCCCGTTTAAGAAACCCCAGGTATTTTCGCAATTAAAAGTTGCACCCAATCTCTCTCTCTCTGAATATCTCTTTCTCTATTTTCCTTTTAAACTCTGCGCAAATTCCAGCTGGGTTTGTGCGTCAACGTAATTAAGATAAATACCAAAACTCTGTGGTTTTGGTCCATATCGACCCAACCGTTAACGTTTACACGTTGAATATCACTTGAATGAAACACTAATTACATCACAACTTCAAAAGAGGGATAATAAAAGGATAGAAAATGTTTAGAAAAATTAAAAAATTTTTAAATTCGAAATTTTTTTATGATAAAGTTAAGAGTTGAAGAGGGCAAAGTTTAAATTGTTCTTGTCCGCGAGGTAGATAACTCGATCCAAGTTCGGTCATAAATAGAAACCGGAAGCATTGATAACACATGCGGCTCATCGCTGTGTTACTTGTAGAAACGCGGCCTCCGGGAACGTTCTTAAAGATTTATCGTCAACCGCAACTTTATCCAACCCAATTTACACCGTAAAAATGTAAAATATAGTGAAACTTTGCGTCTTATATACAGTGTGTTAATTAATTATCGTACCCGACAAAGTATGCAACCAATATCACAGATTGGTTTCTAAAAACGATTCATTAACTTTAAAAGCCGTTTAAAATATATTTAGATATATATCTAAAAAGAATTATTATTATTATTACCACTACATATTGAGATATGCAGCCAATATTACATAGGTCACGTGGGTTACGATAATTAATTAACACAGTGTACAAAAACAAACATTCTACGATATTAAAAAAATTAAATTGGGTGTTTGATGTTAAATAAGAAATTTAAAATATCTTTCGATGAGTTTTCGTTTAGAATTTAAGAAACCGTGTGAGTCTTGTCACCTCAATATATCCAAAGAGACCTTCGACCTCGAAATTTCTCGTCTAAGAGGTTTTTTTCTTGTAGGTTTTTCCACTTTATGTCGCGCACGTTCTGGAAACGTCAGAGCAAGTTCACGTCGTGAAATGATGCGCTTTGAAAACCACCGGAAAAAAGATATACACGGAAATAATTCGTCCTCGCTCTCAAAGGGAGTTGGAAAAAAATTAAAATAAAATAAATGAAATTAAATTAGTTTATTCAACTCTTTGTTGAAATTTCACGAAAATCGGTTTAACACTTCTTAAAATAATATCGGTTTGTAACGTTATAGTTTGTGGTGTATCGATAGGGAACAATTCGAAATTTCTTAAAATCGTTGCAATCGCAGCTTTCATTTCGAGCATGGCAAATTTTTGACCTAAAATTAAAAAGAAATGTTTAATTTTTTAACGCAGTAAAATCTCGATTTATGAATAATTTTAATGGAGACAATGTTAATGTATACATTAGTGATGGAACGGATAGTGATTGGCGATATTTCCGCAAGGATCCTTCAAGAAATGAATTTTACAGCGAATATTGAAAGTTATCGATGAAAATTGCAACATCGAATTTTTATCAAAATTTCAAATATTGTTTTCTCAAAAACTAACAGCTATTTTTCAAAACGGGTTGATTCACCGGAAAGAGGACACTTTTATTAACACTTTTGGAAATTTTCATGCTCATATTCTAAGAAATGGATTTTATACGAATTTTTAAATCTTAATCGGCGAAAATTGCAAAATTCGAACATATTATCGATTATTTCAAAAATTTATTTCTCAACAACTAAAAGTGATTTTTCAAAACGGCTTGTTGCATTAAAAAGATGATTCTTTAATTAATAATTGATGATATTTCCACAAGGATCCTTCAAGAAATGAGTTTTATAACGAATTTTGTAAGTTATCGATTAAAAGTTGTAACATCGAAAATTTTATCAAAACTTCAAATATTGTTTTCTCAAAAATCAAAAGTTATTTTTCAAAATGGGTTGGTTCATTGGAAAGAGAACACATTTATTAATACTTCGGGAAATTTTCATGCTCATATTCTAAGAAATGGATTTTATACGAATTTTTAAAACTTAATCGGCAAAAATTGCAAAATTCGAAAAAATTATCGATTATTTCAAAAATTTATTTCTCAAGAACTAAAAGTGATTTTTCAAAACGGCTTATTGCAGTAAAAAGAGGATACTTTAATTAATAATTAATGATATTTCCACAAGGATCCTGCAAGAAATGAATTTTACAGCGAATATTGAAAGTTATCAATGGAAATTGCAACATCGAAAATTTTATCAAAACTTCAAATATTGTCTTCTCAAAAACTAAAAGTTATTTTTCAAAATGGGTTGGTTCATTGGATTAACACCTTGGGAAATTTTCATACTCATATTCCAAGAAATAGATTTTATACGGATTTTTAAAACTTAATCAGTGAAAATTGCAAAATTCAAAAAAATTGTCGATCATTTCAAAAATTTATTTCTCAAAACCTAAAAGTGATTTTTCAAAATGGCTTGTTGCATTAAAAAGAGGATACTTTAATTAATAATTGGTGATGTATTTGGTAACTATCCGGTATCCGTCCGGATTTAAAAAAATGACCGGTTACCGGATAGTTGCGGGATATCCATTCCAACACTAGTACACATATTTCAACACAAAATCTTACCGATACAATTTCTAGGTCCAGCACTAAAAGGAATATAACAATAAGGATGTTTTCCTGTAACGTTATCTGGTAAAAACCTATCCGGATCAAACCGCTCCGGATCTGTATAATAATTAGAATCTCTATGCAAATCGTAAATGTTAATAAGAACGCTACACCCTTTAGGAATGTAATAACCAGTTCTAGTTCTCTTAATATCTTCAGTTAAAGTTCTCCCAATTAAAGGAACGCTGGGATATAATCTTAAAGATTCCTTTATAACACGTTCTAAATATTTCATTTCATTTAAATCCTCCATTGTAAAATCACGGTCTGATTCATTTAAAATATTACATATTTCTTGATACACACTATCTTGAATTTCTTTATAATTCGCCAATAACATCAAAGTAAACGTTAAACTTGTAGCTGTCGTATCGTGACCTTCAAACATAAATGTATCAACTTCTTCCTTAATCCCATCATCATCAATATCTTTCGTTATCATTTTTGCTATTAATAATAAATCGAGCATTGCCAAACGCTTTCTAGACTCGATTTGTTTCTCTTTTTCGATCACTTCGAGTACGTTAAATGAAGACTCACGATTTTTTATTACGTTCGAAGTAAATTTGTGTAAATAATTTAATAACGATCGTGATTTCCAATAATTTGAAGTGAATTTATGAAGAAAATCGGAATGTTGCCACGGTGTTATACAACGATTTATTATAAGTGAACCCAAACTAAAAATGAATTATGGTTAAATGATGATTTCTGTTAATTACGTAGATTACCTGTAGATTGAATCTTTATAATTTTCACCGCTTTTGTGTTCGTCTAATTTTGTTCCCATTGCAGTTTCTGAAAAATATAATAAAATTAATTAAATTATTGGAAAAATTTTTAATAAAAGTTCTTTAAAATGAGTACAAGGTGAGCTGATAATAGATTATCAGATTTATTTATTTTGGCTTAATATTTCACGCTGCCATAAACGATTCTGAAGTTTGAATTAGGATAAACGATGTCAAAAGTGCTAACTACAACGTATGGTAAAAAAATAAAGTGGACTAAGATAAAGTCATTTTCAATTTAGTTGGGTTGGAATTTACTTTTGACACGTATTTTATTGGGTTACATATTAAGATAACCCCATCTTGTTTGGACTCATTTTAAAGGACTTTTATCGAAGGTTATTTACCACAAATTGATTGTAAAGTAAAATTTGTAACAAGTGATAAGACATCGACGGGTTCGTTTAATTTTTTCTTTATATCAATCGCCAATTTATTACTTTCCTCGATAAAGGTCTTAGTGAATTGATTCAAAATTGTAAAATGAAAAGTAGGTGTTAATAATTTTCGCCTTTCCTGCCATTTTGAGCCGTCGCTTAAAAGCAAACCTTCCTTTAACCAATTATTTAACGGGATATAAGTAGCACTTTTCGTTAAATGTTTCATTTGCGATATCACCATTTCTATATCGTTAGGATTTGATAGGATAACAGTGATTCCGAATCCGATTTGATATTTGGTAATCGAACCGTACGTTTTTCTTACCGATCTTAAATCGGCGAATAATTCATCTAAAAAATTGATTGTTTTTTTGTTTTTGAAATATATTTATATTATTTTTACCTGGTTTTAACCATATTAGATGAATGTTTCCGAAGAATGGGATTCCTTTCGGGGAGGGTATTTTTCTGAGATGTTTGTAAAATAATATTGTTTTAAAAAATTTCTGAATTAACCATAATGATATTAACACGGTGAATAACCAAAAAGTCGGTGAATAAATTGATAAATTTCCCGAAAAACTCATTGTATACAATGTTGTCTTTTGAGTTGTTTACAAGAAACTGAAGTTCTTAAAACTTATCGAGTTATTATTAGGATATGATTAATTAAAATTTAATCTTGTTTTGTTTCATTTTAAAGTAATCTCATATATTTTGATAGAAAAAACGAAAATAAGCGAACAAAAATCTTGGAACCAACCCCAAACCTATATTTTCATGTATAAATTTATTATTATAAGCGGATGCTTTAATAAACGGACTTTTCTTTGCATGACGGGCAAATATTTCTAATAAACGGTTGCGTAGGTAACCAGACGAACACATTACAGGAATCTGTAGTAGATGTTTACCGACATGTGTTCGGGGATTCCTCGTTTTTCGAGTCCCGTTATTAGTTTTGTTTGTTTGCGTGTAACGTGCGATGAAATGGCTTCAAAGACCATTAATAATATACCATAAAGAAAAGATGTCCACAAAAATAATCAAAGATAGAGAAAATATTCGAATGAAATGGCAATATGGTGTCAGAGTAAGAACGATCAAAAACTTTTTGAGTAGTAAGGGTTCAAAGATCGACAAATTCTGTTTCGAATGGTTTGTAAAAACTAGAAATCAAAATATTGCCCTATCAGGAGCATTTGTAAAGAAAAAAGCAAAGGAAATTGCAGAAAAATTGGGAGTGAGTACTATTTTCTCTGAAACTAAAAGTTATTTTTCAAAACGGATTGCTTCATTGGAAAGAGGACACTCTTATTAATACGTTGGAAAATTTTCATACTCATATTCCACGAAAAGGATTTTATACGAATTTTTAAAAGTTAATCGGCGAAAATTGCAAAATTCGAAAAAATTGTCGATCATTTCAAAAATTAATTTCTCAAAAACTAAAAGCGACTTTTCAAAACGGCTTGTTGCATTAAAAAGAGGATACTTTAATTAATAATTGGTGATATTTCCACAAGGATCCTTCAAGAAATAAATTTTATCTACGGAAGTACTTGATG